AATGGACATACTTATAAGTAGTAGAAGAAAAAGAGGGCCAAAATATGGGAATGAGTTTTAGCTATTGGAAACCAATGGGAATAGATGAGTTTTAGAGATGTCAGAAAGGAAAATATGACATGATTTTGGAATAGTCCCAGCGTGAAAATAAGGTCTAGTCTGTAACAAAATACAAAGTCCCTCTCCACTAGTGCTTAAGAAAGAGCCTTGAGGTTAGCCAAGGATAATACCAGTGTTGCATTCCGAGGGTGTGAAGAGGAGAATACAGTTACCAGAAAATTCCCAAAGGGAAGGGAGCAAAGATTTTTGTCCTTACCAAGCTTGATTTTCATTGGTTATAACATTGCCCAGCCTGGAATAGACTTTTCCACAGAACCAACTTCTTCAGAGGTAACCTTGTAATGGCTGAGAACATTCTGAGAGAAATGTAGGAGTCACAAAGGCAGAAGAGGGGAAAGGAGGAACCTGTGCCATACACAATCCAGGGAAAAAGAGGACCAACAACAGTAACAAAAGATCTTATTTAAGAGCATGAAGTTGTACATTAAAGGAGAAGAAATACAAGTATGGAGGAAGGAGTATTACTGATAGCAATAGGGACAATCATTTAAATGTATGTCAGGAAATACCTGGCAGCTTAATACAGTATTATAAGTTTGATATCAGATAGGCCATGTTACTCCATTTTGCAGAATAAAGTGTGTGGGGGTATGTAAAATAGTTACTTGCTAAAAGTCACATAGATAGTAAGTTTTAGAGCTAAGTCTTAGTGGATTCTCCAGCTTATGCATTTTCCACTATACCACACTGACTACAGGCCATCTTCCACCTGGATTACTGCAAAAGCCTTCCTAAGTGGTATATCTCTCACCCTTTCCATCCCCCATTTAATATGTAGCTCAAGAAATATTCTGAAATGCAAATTTCACATTAGCACATACCCTGGCATATCATAGGTGCTAAACACATATGTTTTGAAATGAATGAATATATATGATAGGGCAAGGACTGTCACTGGTTACAAAGTGGAACTATATCAGATGCCAAACCCATAACTGGTCCCAAAGCCCCTATTCTTGGTACCTACAATTTACATCCAGTCCATTGCTATAGATTCTCTTCTTTGACATTCCAAAAAAATTCACCAACATTTTATTGAACATATGTTCTATGTGCTTCCTGTGCTCAGAGCTATAAGGAATTCCATGAACAAGATTCAGTTCTTGCCCTAAAAAAGCTTATAGTCTAGTGGAGGAGCCTTCATTTTGCCAACATATTGAAACTCACATTCTCTTTAATTCCTTTCAGGACTAAGCTGACAAGCAATCCCAGACAGGTTAAGTATTTGGTAATTGCCAATTGACTATCACTTATACTTATAGGACTACACTGGGTCTTGAGAGCTGAAGTCAAATTTTATTCTTCATTATCATCCTACTGGTTAACATAGTACCTGGTATATAATAACAGGTTTAAAATGAATGAAAGAATAAATGAATGAATGAACAAGCAAACAAGTCAAGTTTTGTAATAAAGCTTTGGAATATGAGTCAGAATCTCAGCAGGAATTCTCCGTCACTATACAGATAAATGACTTGGTGATAAGTGCCCTAGGGAAGAACCAGCCCAGTAGACACATATTTGCCAGGCTGCAAAGTTAGTGGAGCATGGGGACAGGAATAAAGAGAGGCAGGGTAGGATTTTAGATGGTTTTTCCAGTGTTGGTCCAGGTTCTTTCATGTGTCCTCAGGTTTAGAGAGGAGTCGCTGTGAGGCAGTCCACCCACATGGAATGTTGAGATGGCTTGGCCTGGCCTCCTACAGCCCTAAACCTGCTCAATGAAGCAGACCATAGAGGGAAGTCAATAGATAAATAGGTAGATGGATCATAGTATTCACCACACATTTTCACAACCTGGTAAGAAAACCCTCTGATGACATATTATTTAAAGTGTATTTTTTGAGGAACCAAGATGGCGGCATAGGTAAACACCTGAACTTGCTGCCTCGCACAACCACATCAAAACTACAACTAAAAGACAAAACGGATATCATCCAGAACCACGAAAAAGCTGGCTGAGTGGAAGTCTGACAACTAGAGGGAAAGAGAAAAGCGCATCTAGACTGGTAGGAGGTGCAGAGGTGCGGAAGAGTGAAGGTACGGAGGTGCGTGAAATGGGCTGGCAACTGGGTATGCTGTGGTCTTTTTCAATCAAGAGGGAGATACAGACTCCCAACTGCTCTAAACTCCAGTTCCAGGCGAGACTCTGGGGACCCAGACTCATACGGGGAGAAATTGGACTGTCTGGCATCGGGCTGGAACAGGAGGGCAGCTTTCTCTCAGAGGTGCTCGCAGCATTCATTGTTCCTTCACAGGGCCACAGAACACAGAGACCCAGGGACCTATCGGGGCATGGCCAACAGGCAACCATTGCTGTTTGCACTGCCCAGTGATTCCCTGAGACCCGCCCCACCCAATTTACAACCCCACCCAAGCTGTGTGCAGAGGCTTTTGCATACGAATGGCCTGGACTTTTGCAATCTAAAACCTAACAAATTGCAGCTGGGTCAAAGAACCCCAGAGCTTCCAAAAGAAGGCCTAAGGCTTGTCAGCAGCCTGCATTACTTCACAGCTGTGCCTCATCTGGGCACCTCCAAACCCCAAACAAAGAGGAGGAATCTGCATCTCTCTCAGTAGCTCCTGCTGGGTGGCCTCAGGCAGTGGCTGACTTTGAACCTCCTTGGAGATCCAAGAGCCAGTGTACCCAGTGGTCAGAGGGAGACCACACCAGATTACAACTCTTCACATCCATAAGAGACACACTCAGGGGGCAGACTCAGTGAGCACCAAAGCCCCATTGAAGCAAGTCCTGCCCAATAAGGGTGTTTCCAGCACAGCAGTTCTCCCATTGTAGACACAACTGGTCCTCACAGCCAATTGGTCTGGAGGTCAATTCCTCCCATTGATACCAACAGCAATCAAGGCTTAACTACAACAAGACTGTGCACACAGCCCACAAAGGGGTGCACCAAGAGTATCCACCTCAGGTGACTGGGGAGGCTGAGCCACTGGTCCCTATAGGACACCTAGCACACAAAGCCACTCTATCAACACAGGGAAGCAGCCAAAATGCATAGACAAAGAAACATGTCACAAGTGAAAGAAATGGAGGAAAGCAAACTACTGGATATAGAGTTCAAAACCACGGTTATAAGGTTTTTCAAGAATTTTCTAGAAACCGCCGATAAATTTAGTGAGACCCTCAAGGATATGAAAAAGGACCAATTAGATATTAAGCATACACTGACTGAAATAAAGAATAATATACAGAGATCCAACAGGAGACTAGAAGATCCCAAGAATCAAATCAAAGATTTGAAATACGAAGAAGCAAAAACCCAACTGGAAAAGCAAAAAGAAAAAAGAATCCAAAAATATGAAGATAGTGTAAGGAGCCTCTGGGACAACTTCAAGCGTACCAACATCCAAATTATGGGGGTGCCAGAAGAAGAGAGAGAGCAAGATATTGAAAACCTATTTGAAGAAATAATGACAGAAAACTTCCCCTACCTGGTGAAAGAAATAGGCTTACAAGTCCAGGAAGCACAGAGAACCCCAAACAAAAGGAATCCAAAGAGGACCACACCAAGACAATCATAATTAAAATGCCAAGGGCAAAAGACAAAGAGAGAATATTAAAAGCAGCAAGAGCAAAACAGTTAGTTACCTACAAGGGAGCACCCATACGACTGTCAGCTGATTTCTCAACAGAAACTATGCAGGCTGGAAGGGGGTGGCAAGAAATATTCAAAGTGATGAATAGCAAGAACCTACAACTAAGATTACTCTACCCAGCAAGGCTATCATTTAGAATTGAAGGTCAGATAAAGAGCTTCACAGATAAGAACAAGCTAAAGGAGTTCATCACCACCAAACCAGTATTATATGAAATGATGAAGGGTATCCTTTAAGAAGAGGAAGAAGAAGAAAAAGGTAAAGATAAAAATTATGAACAACAAAGTGACAACAAATACATATCTCTCAACAAGTGAATCTAAAAATCAAGTGAATAAAAAATCTGATGATCAGAATAAACTAGTGAATATAATAGAATCAGGGGCATAGAAAGGGAGTGGACTGACAGTTCTCAGGGGGAAGGGGGTGTGGAGGTGCGGGAAGAAAGTGGACAAAAATAGAACACCTATGGACGAGGACAATGGGGGGGATAAAGGCATGGGGTGGGGTGGGAACTGGGTGGAGGGGAGCTATGGAGAGAAAAAAGAACAACTGTAATAATCTGAACAATAAAGACTTATTTTTAAAAAATTAAAAATAAAAAGGTGCTTATCACTAGAAAATAAAATAAAATAAATTCTATCTTAAGGCCTAGCTGGCATGGATCAGTGGTTAAGCATCGACCTATGGACTAGGAGATCATAGTTCAATTCCTGGTTAGGCCATATGCCGGGTTACGGGCTCAATCCCAGATGAGGGATGTGCAGAAGGCAACTGATCATTGATTCTCTCTCATCATTGATGTTTCTATTTCTCTCTACCTTCCTCTCTGAAATCAAAAATATGATTTTTTAAATAAAATAAAAATAAAGTGTATTTTAGTAATCACCAACATGAGTAAATATCCAACTGAAACAAATGTTTGTATTTTCTATACCTTTGAAAATTAGAACCAAAAATATGAACAGAAACAGCTATCTAACAGCATCCTTCACACACACACACACACACACACACACACACACACACACACACACACGGAGACACACACACATATTCCTGAAATTTCCCTGCTGCTAACCTGTTAGCTATTCGAATAAACATTATTTCTGCCACACACATTAGCACCAACTAGTACCTTGTAGTCAGTTAAAAAAATCTTTATCAAAGTTAGAGCATGGTATTATTTTGACACCAGACAGTCCTTTGCTTTTGTGTGGAATCACTGTGTTGCCTGAACAGTGTATGATTTTGTTTTTGTGCAGACAATCAGCAGGTCATTAGCGTATCGTTCAAATCGCCCCGAACTCAGGATGGAACCCCAGGGACCTGAAGGCAGAATAGACTGAAGAGAAGATGTGGTGTTGCTGACAGTTACCTCTGATGGCAGTTAAAAAGGTATGATTGCAACCACATGACAGCTTAATGCAACAGATCCCTGATCTGTTCACATGACAAATTCTGATTAATGGGATTAGTAATCATTATTAATTTTTAAGTTTTGGTGGAGCAGTCCATTACATCCTACTATTAGAATACTGGCAGGGTCCTCCATGAGATAACCATGTTCTATCATTATTTTACTGCCTCTGGTTCTACATATTGGTGGACTTGATATCACCCATAATTTATTCAGATGGGGGTGGGGAGAAAGTCCTACTGCATATTTAAAAGGTCCATGAAGAAATTTTTGCATTAGAAAGTGAGAGTGAGATAAACTGAAACTAGGTATGAGCCAGAATTTGCCATTTTTACCCATGGACATATGCATGTACACAGACACACACACACACACACACACACACACACACACACACGATGAGGTTTACTTCACTATATCCACATCTGGCAATGATGTGCACATAGTGAAAAGATTTCAGATCCCCTCCAGAAAGCCCTTAGGCTACAAGGAAAATCATCCTACATCTAATAAACCCATCTGAGATATATCTCCCATATGGCAAAGCCCTGTTTTGCTTTATTCCAACAAATTGGTCTTTGGATCCCTCTCACAGCTGCTGCTGCTATTGTTTAAGATGGATTGAACCCTGGCAATGGGCTCGATACTGTGCACTGCCATCAGGACTCCCCCATCACTGGGCTGCGCAAGCACTGTGATGTCACCTGGAAGGAGTACTGAGCACCTGGGGTATTTAAAGTCCTAACACATCATAAACACTCAACAACAACAGCAAAAAAAAAAAAAACTTTTAGAAAAAATAGAATATTCTGGGAATGGGTTTCTAAACCAGATTACCACCAAGACAATTGTATGTGAAAATAGGCAAATGAATAAGTAGCTTTTCCTCAGAATACTTTGCTATTCTCCACTACGGTTTGGTTTAGATTGAGAAACACGAAGTGTGCCAGCTAACTAGCACAGGAGGCACAGAGATAAATGTGCCCCCTCCCTGGTGAAGTGCCCCTCCACTGGAGAAATGGGACACCTGGGATTTCCAAGCAGGCTCCTCTACCATGGCAATGGCATTTAGAACGTTTTTATACAACTCCATATACAGAATTCAATCCTGGGAAAGGAAAACATTTGCTCTTCTTAGTAGTTTTTTCCCAGCTTTATTGAGGTATAATTAACACATAAAATTGTAAATTATCTAAAGTGTACATCATGACAATTTGGTACACATCTATACTGGGAAAGGATTTCCCCCATTTAGTTCATTAACACACCCATCACCTCACATATTTATCATTTGTTTTTTGTGGGGGTTTTTCTTGTTGAGAACATTTAAGTTCTACTCTCTCAGCAAATTTCAATTATACAATACAGTGTTATCAACTGTAGTCACCATGTTACACGTTAGATCCTCAGACCCGTCCCTTCCTATTTTCACCACCACCACAAATTAAGTTACTTGATTTTTTTTCATAATTTATAGCTTCCTTAAGTAGGAGAATCATCTTTTTTATTTTGCTCTGACTCTACCAGAATTGGAGGATGTTTTCAATATGCTAAAATTAAATAAATAAATAAGAACAATTTATGCTCAATACAAAAGAAAGCCTATTATAGCAAGCCTATAGTTATAATTCTAACCTCACGTATAAAATATATCACAACTGTCACAAAATGAAATGACCAATACCGGGAGGTAATTCCAAATCCTTTTGATCTAACTGGATAGGTCATCACAGGCACATGGCCAGGATTTTCTCAACACTTTGAACTGTTCAATATCATTGATACCCTTGTGGGAGGGTTTTCCTTTCCAATTTTATCAAATTTCATCATATTCCTTTCTGAAATTTAAATAAGGTAAGAGGCCTTGCCTGGTCCATATTAACTTGGGACCGTTTCTTATTAATTTGGGATTGAGGAGCTCACTCTTCCTCCTTTTCCTTTTCATCTTCCTTACTCTACTAGCCTGCTTTCCCTCTGGCTTGTCTTCTTCTAAAGTTAAAGTTATCTTTTTCCATGTTTTGAGTATTAATTTAAAAGCTCCCTTTTCCTAAGCTCTAAGAAAGAAGAATAGCAAAAAAAAAAAAAATGTATGGATGATAGGATTGAAAGGATGAACAAAGATGAAAAAACAAGAATGTTGAGGCTCCCTCAACGTTTTTGTTTTTTGTTTTTAGCTTCTATTTCTGTGGGTGGCCAGAAACTGAAAAGACTTCCTAAAAAGACTCAAAGGAAAACAATGCTCAGAGGAAATAATGCTGAAGAGGTGTTAAGAGACACTGTTAAAGGGAGCAACCCATCTCAATTTTCTTCTTCCTCTGATCCCTTTCTACAACCCATTTGCAGTGGCCTTTATATTCCTGGTGGGACTGAACTTTTTGGAAGCTCAGAATACATAGAAGTCAGGGGGCATAAGGTAAAATTCCACTTACCAAAAAAAAGTACCTTCTTCAGGGCCTCTAGATTCATTGCTCAAGTGCTTTCCACTGCACCCCACCCATCCTCCCAGGCCAAACACACACCACTGGGCCACCCCACACCTGAACTTCTGGTTGAGCCAGTAGAGCACTGGAAGTTTGGAGGCAGGACCAGAAACTCAGCAGAGCCCCAGGCAGTGGCTCAGCCACCACCTCTACAGTACTGGGAATGCACTGTCCCTAAAACAACCCCCGGAAAGTTGGGTAGGAGAAGCAGCTGGAAATGTCAGAGACAATTGGGTTGGCATCAGGGAGGCCTCACCCACCTTCCCACCAGTCTCTAGTCTTGGCTATGTCATAGGGTACAAGAGTGTCCTGACCCTGCCTCCCAACTTCCAGTTAAACCAGAAGCTGGACATTCAGGGGAGAGGCCAGGAATGTGGCCAGCCAGGTGCAGGGACATTACTGCCACAGTTTCCATTATGGCCCACAAGCACAATCTGGGCCACAGAGTGTGTTTATTTAACAGAAACATTCTGAGGATCTGTTTGAAAAGAAAATCTTCTGTCCCAGACTTTGAACAACGATGGTTGTCATTTGTTGAGCACTTACTATGTATGGGCTAGACTCTGTACAGTAGGTCATTTCATTCTAGCAACCCTATGCAGTAGGTACTATAATTATCTCCCTTTATATACTAAAAAACTAGAGTTTAGAACAGTACAGCAACTTGATTCAGGCTACTAAAGAGATCCAGGATCCCATTGCAAATAGATCTGACTCCAAAACCACATATTTTAATCATCAAGTATAGAAAACCAAAATTCTACGCCTTTGAGGGCACTTTTGCTGAATGGGATTTTGACCATATTTTGTTAGAACAGAATTCAGTAACTAGGCCAGCCGTGGGCAAACTACGGCCCGCGGGCCGGATCCGGCCTGTTTGAAATGAATAAAACTAAAAAAAAAAGAGACCGTACCCTTTTATGTAATGATGTTTACTTTGAATTTATATTAGTTCACACAAACACTCCATCCATGCTTTTGTTCCAGCCCTCCGGTCCAGTTTAAGAACCCATTGTGGCCCTCGAGTCAAAAAGTTTGCCCACCCCTGAACTAGGCAGATAGCACTAGTTTCCCTCTATCTGTCAATGTGCCTGGGGACAGAAGTAGATTCTAAAAATCAGATAAACAAGCATCAGAGATAATCCACTCAGGAAACAGAACAGAAGGGAGTGTGTAGGTAGGAATGTGAATTCTGGGCTCATTCTATCTGGCTCAGAGTTGATTTCTCTCAAGCTTAAAGCATTTCCTTGTCTTTCAGAAGCAGGCATACATGAAATAGAGCTTCCATAAACTTTAATCACAGCTCTAAATAAACAGGTCACATACTAATATCTGATATACCCAGGAAATCCCTGAAATGTAAGCACTTAACTCATGAGTTCTTAACTTTCCAAGTCACATGTTTAGGAGAGATACTGACTGATGGACACCAAGGAGAAGTACTGAGTACAAAGTCCTGGGAAAGTCCTGGAGACTTTCTGAAGAAAACGGTAGATGCAAGAAATGAAGACAAAGTCAACACTGCCTTTGTGTCTCATGGCCCTTAGCTCTTAAAGTAAAAGCACCCTTATGATTTTATAGGAGTTTCAATAATAAATGTAATTGATAATTTAACATAATGATAAAATAAACATGTTGAGACCGTTTTCCCCTTCCACAGAGGCCTTAAGAATTCTCATGATAATGACTTTGGGGGCATTAGGACTATTTATAAAAGATTCTAGTCAACCCAAACTGCTATTATTACTTCCCCTCCCAGCACCCAGGCACTCCCTGGAGGCTCCTATTTGTATATTTGTGGTTATTAAGGGAGCTCCAGCTTCTGGTGGGGAAAGAATGACAGCAGGAAGCTATCAGCTTCCTGCCTCTCTCCAGGCCTCCCAACCCAATTGTCGGGATTACTCTCTCCTTAGTGAACTATGACCTAACAGCAGGTGCTCCTTCCCTTGTCCTTTTTATCCCACAGGCTTCTTAAAGAAACAAGGATATCCTTCTAGAACAATGGTCACACAAAAAAGCAAAATGAGGAAAGTCAAGGACCATGCCTACCTCAATCTCCATCAAGAACTCAGAGACCTGAGATCTTATGAAATGGGTCCAGGCCAACAGGGTAAGCCAGCTTCTTATGTGATATAATTTAGAGAGAATTAAAATTCCAAGATAGACATCCTCTTTCCTTTAGTCATTCAGCCAACCAATATTTACTGAGCACCTGCTGGGTAGGGGTTTCTGGAAGACAGAGATACAATGTTCATAGGGTTGCCAAATTTAGCTAATAAAAATCTTGTATTTGATCCAATAACTCTCCAGTGGTTCTCAACCTTCTGGCCCTTTAAGTACAGTTCCTCATGTTGTGACCCAACCATAAAATTATTTTCGTTGCTACTTCATAACTGTAATGTTGCTACTGTCATGAATCGTAATGTAAATATCTGATATGCAGGATAGTCTTAGGCGACCCCTGTGAAAGGGTTGTTCGACTGCCAAAGGGGTTGCGACCCACAGGTTGAGAACCGCTGCGAGTCTAACCAGTCATCAAGAGACTACACCTCCCCATATGGAACTTACAATCTAGAGCCCTATGCATTCTGTAAAAAGTTTTAAATCCTTTGCAAAACTGATTTATCCTCAAAGTGTACAATGTGAGGGGGAAATACACATAAGAGGTGAGTTTTGAAAAGGAAAAAAAAAAAGAGAAATTTCCAAGATAAGGCAATCATTAGAAGAAAGTCACAGAGGAAGTAACAATGAGTGACCCAGTACAAGGCAATGACTACGTGTCTGCAACTTGGGGTGCAGGAGGTCAAAAAAGGGATCCGAATGAAGAAACTGTTGCTGAGAACTCAGCTGTTTCACCTGCATCCAAGTTAGTGACAAGTCGGCCAAAAGTGTTGTCAAGGTTGGTGAACATTTCACTCAAACCTGAGCAGAGCATCTAGTGGGATCTCATGCCAACTTATGGTTTGGGGTGGAAACCATACAAAATGTGCTGGTTTTATAGGGTTTAAACCTGAAAGCAAGAAAATGTGGTGGTTTGAACCATATTTTCTTGGAATATTTTAGGCACTCAGGCATAAAAATTCCCAGTCAGGCTTGGGAGGTCCGATCTGAAACAATAAAAAGTTTTCACACTATCCTTTGAGCAACCACAAGGAATAGACTTCCAAGAGAAATTGTAGCCTCTTGTTTGAATGTCTTTTAAATATGGTTGATAGATGGACCAGTTAGGCCATATTTATGTGGGAAAAACTGATTTGATATTTGGAATGAGGAGAGAAGGCTGTCTTTTTCTGGATCCATGTTATCCACATGGGAAAAACAAATCAAGGTTTTTTTTATACATGTCAATGTGCTCATCATAATGCCAGTTGAAGGATTCGTTCCGTTGGCAGAAATTACTTGGTCAGTGTGCTATGAGTGACTCCATAGCTCGAGTGAGAGTGGGAGGGGTAAAATATTTTTTTATATGTCAGTTATTAAAGTCACCTCAAATTTTCATGAAAAGATATGAAGCATTAATAAATAGGAAGTGCCACAAAAGCAGTGGCAGAAATACAGTTAGAGAAAGATAAATACCATATAATCTCACTTATATGTGGAATCTAGTGAACAAAATAAACTAATGAACAAAATAGAAACAGAGACATGGATGCAGTATATGGAACAGACTGACAGCTATCAGAGGGGAGAGGGAAGGGGGCACTGAATGAAAGAAGGTGAAGGGATGAGCCAGAGAACATATACATGTATCCCATAAACACAGAAAACAGTGTGGTGACGGCCAGAGGGCAGGGTGGAGGTGGGCAAAGGGGGAGTGGGAAGGAATGGGGACATCTGTAATAGTTTCAACAATAAAAGTAAGGTTAAGAAAATAAAATTATAAAATCATTAATAAATAATTGGAAAAATAAAAAGAAGTGGCACAAATAGAAAGATTCATTTGCATGGCAAACCTTATCATTTCTCTTACTAGTTACCATTTTCTAATCTTAGGATCCCATAAACCACCCACACTATCTTATGCCCGGGGCAAAATACAAATTCCTATCTCTTCATTCCTTCCCTTTCCTTGATCTCCTTTGTCTGAACAGGTAACTGAACTGCCTCATGAGACTGTATAAGTGTGGGGCTAGGGCTGTGTTGGGTTTTGAGCAGATCTGACTCTAATGGCATAGGATTGCCCTGCCAGGTGCAAGAAAATAGACATGAATTTCCCCCAAGCTTTTCTTGCAACTTCTGTGAGGCCCATGCTCTGAACCAGCAACCAAATGAAAATTTCTTCATTGTTTACTTTGAAGAGAGTAATATTCCTTAATCATCAATGGAAAGTCTATTGTTCTCACAATGAAGTGGAATTTCTTTTTTTTCTTCATAAATTTTGTATTGTTTCACTTTATTTTCAAGAGGGCTAATGGAGAGATTATAAACAGCAGTTATGGTTTACAAGAGCAGAACAGTAGGAATCATCATTATCACTTAATTCATATATTTATTAAGTTATTCCAGGAAAATCTAGTTAAATTTGGACCTTGTGCCTTTGAAACATTTGATAATTCCAAGATGAGAAATTGGTTTAACTTTTTCTTTCATAGAAGAAAAAGAGTTTACAAATCTAATTAAATAAGCTTTGCAGGGGGTGATTAATCTTAAGAAAACAAACTGCTTTCAAACACTCCAGTAATAACTGTTTCTGAGGATTAATGAAATGATTGCAAAGAATCCTAGCCTACTCCTTAAAGCAGACCCATTAATGAGGACTTGGCCACATATTATTGGTTCCTGCTTGTGTAAATATTTACTATACAGTAGATTCCAATATTCTATAATTCTGACATATCATACTTTATACCCATCTTCCCTCAAATTAACCTGCCACACAATGAAGGTTTCCCTGTTTCTCTTCAAGAGTTATATGAATCCAAGATGCCAATGAGACAAGCCTAAATGGTCTTTTAAAGATGTTTAGATCCCTCCAATGTCTATTAATGACTTTTACATATACATATGTCCTTTAAACCAATGGCATAATTGATTTTATTGGAAGCCCACTTGGCCAGGACATTGTGATAGTTGAAACCTAACTATTAGCACTCATGTAGGTACTCCAAATCACTATCTGAGACCATGCATATGCCATATGTGGAGTAGTATGGTCAGGTGTCAAAGATTTGTACAGATAACCCAACTTATCCATGAGTCCTGAAGATATTTTATCTTAAAAATACCAACAATTCATTACAGATCCCACAATCAAAACTCTTCATAAAGTTACTATGGTAATAAATGTTAGGTTCCTTTGAGCCCTCTCCTTGAGGAGTATTAAGTAGTGAAAACTAAATGTACAAGAATACATCCAGTTACAACTTATTTATAAATGCAAGCAAACAGAAAGGAAAGTTTGAATATTTATTCCTTCTACATACATATATTAAGTATTTACTATCTACCAAGCTCAGTTGTGAGCTCTGAGAAAGAGAAATATTACATCGTGCTCACCACAGCTGATAGTCTAATTAGGGAGACAGATAAGTAAAGCAACGATGACAATAAAAGAAATAAGCAGTGGGTGCTATGGAGGCACAAAGGCAGACACCTAATTTCAAGCATCAGGGAAGACTTCCCAGGGGAGGTATTACTTGAGCAGAATTAGAGAGCTGAGAAGTTAGCCAGGTGAACCATCCCAGGTGAGTGGTTTCTATAACAAGAGCATAGTTTTTGCAGAAGAAACCAAAAGGCTTGTTAAGCATTATGTTAATGTTAAACATTAACTAGTAGTCTTTGAACATTTACTTTTCACAAAACACCTTGCTAAGCATTTTAGAGGCATTTCTCTTATTTAATTCTACCAATGCCACATAAGTTAATTCTATTGTTATTCCAATTGTACAGAAAGGAAACTGAGACTCAGAGAAGAAAAATAACTTCCTCATGATTATCCAGCAGTCTGACTCCAGAGTCCAGCGGCCTCCTAAGCCTCCTCAGGTATGCCAGACTATGGAGCTTGTCTTTCCTTGATAGACCATGGGAGCCACTAAAAATTTTAGATGAATCAACTAAAAGTAAGCCTAACAGTATTTTCGTGAGAAAAAGACCACCTTTCTCTGCTAAATTATTTTTTAATCCTTTGGTTCAATACGATTACTTCCTGGTTAAATTTGATTTCCGCCTCATTTAGAGAAAGAATGGTGACTTTAAAAGGCCCTTTTGGGCATGTGGATCATAAGCCCCAGAATAAGGAAGGAGGCAACACTGATGCTGTTTCACACAAACAGGAACCTGTGCTGCCATGTATTACTCTGATAGGCCAGACAGAAACCAGCGTGCGTTGTCACACTGTGCCTACATGTATGACCCATCATTTATACCTGTTCTCATTGAGATGGGGTCAGACTGCAAAAATCCTAATACTTTAAATTCAGAATACATCAATATTTTTTGCATTATAATTGATGGTTTTTAAAGGACAAGATTTGCTTAGAACCATGTTAAAGATAAAAGAGTGGAACTATAGTGATCTAAAATTATCTAATTTTCTAGAAAATTACTACTTTCTACAAGCTGCATAAACTTTAATTAAAAAAAGACAAGGAGGCCTATTCTCTCTCCTAACATCCATACGACATGCCAGGCTCTTTGGATTCTGGTAAAAGGAAAAGAGCAGACTAAAGAGAGTAGAATTTTTAGCAAAAATCTAAATATAATTAGGATGTAATGCTTACTTCCATCTTTAAAGACCAACAAGTGACCAACATTTGTTGCTTTTCCAGGGAGAAAGTAATTTTGACTTTAAAATATATGTAAAGTTCTCTTATAAACTGTAGAGCCAGGTTAAGTCAAAGGTAAGACAATGCACAAATCAGCTCATCAGCTCATGGGAACATAAGATAGGAGGTTAGGTTTGGGGGGTTTTGTTTTTGTTTAGCTAAATACCACCAAAATGAGCATTCCTGGGATGCTTAATGCAATGCTTTATGTATCTGTAGCCAACGAAATGTCCCCAACATCTTATAAACAAATATTTTGGTAGCTTCCACTACAAATTCTCTAG